GAATGCCTGTCAGCGCTAAGCGAAGCCCGGTTCCTCTCTCTGCCGGCTGGGCACTCGGCAGCGAGGGGGAGGCAGAGTTCCTGTCGGCAGCCTGGAGGGAAGGACGGGATGCTTTATGTGCACAATGATTCACAGTGGCAGAAAGGAGGACTCTTTGCTCCCCGGGTGCTGCTCCCCACTTGCTATGCGCACCTAAGTTTTTCTTATTCCTACAGAGTCCAAGGTTGTGTGGGGGGGGGAGGGGCTGTGTTACATACGACAAGTCCTGCTGGATCAGGCTGAAGATCCATGTAGTCCAGTATGCTGCGGCCAGCCAGGTGGAGAAGGCATGGAGAGCAAAAGCTCCTTCTGTTAAATACCACCCCACCCCCCACAATTTGGTATTATGGGATATACTGCATCTGCACATGGAGGCCCCATTTGGCTTCAGGGCTAGTAGCCACGGATGGACTTTCTTTTTGTTGAGTCACGGTTGACTTGTGGCGCCCCCTGGTGGGGTTTTCAAGGCAATGGATGTTCAGTGGGTTGTCACCGCCCGCCTCTGCAGAGCAACCAGTGTTCCCTCTAAGCTGAGCTACTGTGAGCTAGCTTACAGTTTTTTTAGCCTCCAGCTCACACATTTTTGCCTTCGCTCAGGAAGGATGGCTCCAGACCAAACTAATTTATGCAGTAGCTAAATGGCTCGCTCACAACTTCAATGCCAGTGGCTCACAAAGTAGAATTTTTGCTTGCAAGACTCCACCGCTTAGAGGGAGCACTGCACCCCAGGGCTTCCTTGTCGGCCTCCCATCCAAATACTGACCAGGGCCGACCCTGCCCAGCTTCTGAGATCTGACACTCCATCTAGATCAAGGCAAGAGACGTACAGAGGTGGTTTGCCATGGCCTGCCTCTGCGTAGCAACCCTGGACTTTGGCGGTCTCCCATCCAAGCGCTAACCTGAGGTGACCCTGCTCCACCCTGATCTCGGTACTTTTAACCGCAGCCAAGCGCATTATCGCAAAGCGCTGGAAAACTCAGGCTGCTCCCTCTATAGACCAATGGTGTACTAAGCTATGGGAATACCTGACTGATGATAAAATTTCAGAGCAGTCAGCCCAGCGTAGTCTTAACGAAAAATTCTCATAGCTCGATGAACAAGTGGAAGGTTTTGCTAGGTAAACAAAACAGGTTTACGATGCATAGACCAAGGAATCCTTGGACAAATGCCCTGTCATTATACACGTTTCACTAGCTGCCACAGTTGTTATCTGTATAAGTGTACTAAGAAAGCTGAGAACTTTGTTGCTAACTGTTAGTTTAGTACTGCTGTTGTTATAAAGTTATTGCTTTGTGAATTACACTGAAGTCAGTTTGTTAATAAGGTACTGTTTAGAAAGTGATGGGTTAAACCATGTGTGACTTTTTTGCTGTAACTGCATTACAGATTTTATTGTATGCTGATATTTTGAAATAAAAATTATTTTTAAAAAATGTGGCGTCGGAGGAGAGTTTTAAGAAGAAGAAATTGGATTTATACCTCGCCCTTTACTCGGAGTCTCAGAGCGGCTTACAAACTCCTTTCCCTTCCCCTCCCCACAACAGACAAGAAGGAGGTAAGGTGCTCGGAGGCAGGGAACAAATAAAGTAGAGGGGAAACTATGCTGCACTTTTAAAAATGCGCTTCTTATCATCCCTTTTTGTGCTACATGGTATAGAGTTCATTTATTAGGGATGCCAGCCTCCAGGGTGGGACCTGGGGATTCCCCTGGAATTAAAGCTCATGTCCAGACTACAGATCAAGAAGAAGAAGAGATTTTATTTATACCCTGCCCTTCACTACCCGAAGGAGTCTCAGAGCGTTTTACAATCTCCTTTCTCTTCCCCTCCCCACAACAGACACCCTGTGAGCAGTGTTCCCTCTAAACTGAGTTAGTGTGAGCTAGCTTGCAGTTTTTTAGCCTCCCGCTCACACATCTTAGCTCAGGAAGGATGGCTCCAGACCAAACTAATTTACGCAGCAGCCAAATCGCTCGCTCACGACTTTAAACCAGTAGCTCACAAAGTAGAATTTTTGCTCACAAGACTCCACAGCTTAGAGGGAACATTGCCTGTGAGGTAGGTGGGGCTGAGAGAGCTCTTGACAGAAACTGCTCTTTCAAAGACAGCTCTTGTTAGAACTACGGCTTGCCCAAGATCATCCAGCAGCTGCCTGTGGAGGAGTGGGGAACCAAACCCGGTTCTCCCAGATTAGAGTCTGCACACTTAAGCACTACACCAACCTGGCTCTCGTTGGACTGCCAGAAAGACAATTCATTGGGTTCTGGGTCAAATCAAGCCTAAACTCTCCCTAGAAGCTAAACTGAGGCTATTGTACTTTGGCCGCATTATGAGAAGACAAGAGTCACTGGAAAAGACAGTAAAGTTGAAGGCAGCAGGAAAAGAGGAAGATCCAACGGGAGATGGACGGACTTCATCAAGGAAGCCGCAGTCCTCAGTTTGCCAGACCTGAGCAGGGCTATTAATGAGAGGATGTTAATTCACAGGGGCACCATAAGCTGGAAGAGAACTGAGAGTATGCACACACACACACACACACACAGACTGAGCCCAGAGAGATGAACGCCATGCCCTGCATCCAGGTGTAAAGGAACTTACAAAGCCTGGTGTGCAAGGGCTGGTTCAGGCACACATGCTCTGCCCTGGGTTCTTTATCTGTGGGGGGAATTGCTGTGGAATGAACAGGCTGCCTCCACTGGGGAAACGCCTTGTGACTCAAGGTGACGGGAAAGCAGCCTCACCCCCACCCCGGGTTTTGGGGGTGGCTGTCGCAGACCCCACGCAAAGTGTCCCACCCAGTCCCTCGGCAGGCGTGGGTGCGCGAGGGTCCTCCAGTACCAGCGACGACCAGCTCCACTCCAAACCTTCCCCTGGGGCTCACTCCGCGCTCCCAGACCTCTCTGCCAGGTTTGCTTCATTCACTTCAGGGGGACTGACGGGCTGCCCTCCCCTCCCTGGGCTCCTGGGGCAGGGGGCAACTATAAAACCACCAGCGAAACAGAAACTGAATGAGAACCCGCAGCAGCACATCAACCGGGGCCACGCCACGAATCAGAAACACGGATTTAAAACTTACAAAGCAAGGTGGAGAGGGCTTTGGGAAGCAAAACAAACTGAGAATCCCCCGTTCTGCAAGACAGGAGAGAGCCACAGTGGTCTATCTACAGTGTCCGAGTCAATAAGAACGATTTGACGTGGCAACGGAAAGGAAGACCATCAGGCACAGGGCAGACAGCTGCTAGGAAGGTATTATCTAAGACGAACACCGCACAGGAAGATGTGGGATGGAAAGGGCCCAGAAGCTGCCTTATGCCCTTTGGCTCATCAAGGTCACCGCTGCCTACTAGGGTTCCCAGGTCCCAGTGGCTGTCATGATCTGGGCTGTGCCACCAGAGGCCTACTAGGCCCAGGGAGCCTGGCTAGCAGTAGGTGAGGCTGGGCCTACAACTCCCAGAAGCCCTGGAAGGTTTTGGAGCCAAAATTGACCAATGGGGAGGAAGAGGGCTGGGGAACAAAAGGGCTGGTGCCAGAACAGAAGCTGTTCTTCCAGAGGGCAGAGCCAGAAGGAAGGCTGCGGCAGGAAGAAACCCTCATCCTGAGGGAAGGGTGAGTAGTCTAGTGTCACTTGGAATAGTGAGCTAGGGACAGTATATATTTAGACTGTTATTATTCTGCACTTTGTTGTTTGACCTATAAAATAAACCTTTTCCTTGTTTCACTCTGCCTGGTCCTCATGCCTGTTATGCGGCCTAAAGGGAGGTCAGAAGGTCTTGGGAGGGTGCTCTGGGCCTTCTCAAAGGAGCCTGGAACCAGAGTGGTGGCAGCGTCAGGTGACACCCCACCTGAGTCATGACAGTGGGTTTTCCCCCACTTTTAGGGGCCCAGATCCACCGCTGGCCAGCAGGGGAAACTCCACCCTCAAACAGGGACACTGCCATGCTAAGTCTCAAACACAATGACATCATCACGTCGCCGATGTCAGGGGTGACGTTCTAGTTTTTGGGCAAACTCTATGGTTTTGAAGGCAAATGGCCATAAAGTTTTACCCCAAAACTAGAGTCACCCCCTGACATCGGCAATGATGTCACTTCTGGGTGATGATGTCATCGTGCTGGGCGTGCTTTGCACATCTGGCAGAACATCCCGGAGAGGAACCGGGGGGGCCCTGCCACCAGTGAGGTAGAACCTGGCAACACTACTGCCCACTCAGACTGGTGGTGTCTGACCTGGGACAGGCAGCAAAGAAGGCCCTAATTTGACTGCAAGGTTGCCAGTCTCCTGGTGGTAGCTGGTGATCTCCTGGAACTAGAACTGGTTTCCAAGTTACAGAGGTCAGTTCCACCGGGAGAGAACGGCGGCTTCGGAAGGTGAACACGATGGCATCATCACTGAGGTCCCTCCCCTCCCCAAACCCCGCCCTCTCCAGGCTCCACCCCCCAAATATCCGGGTATCACCCAACCCAGAACTGGCAAACTTGTGGAGGCTGCTAAAAAGATGGACAAGCAGAAGGAGGTCGGTTTCACAAAAGTAAGCAAAGACTCGTCTTCTCCTGCTTCAGCGAGCAAGATGAGACTGAAGATGCTTCAGTGAAAGAAAAAGAGTTGGTTTTATACCCCAGCCTTCAGTACCCGGAGTCTCGGAGTGGCTTACAATCACCTTCTCTTCCATTCCCCTCCCCACAGCTAGCACCCTGTGAAGTAGGTGGGGCTGAGAGAGACTGCTGGTGAGAGAACAGCTCTGGGAGAGCTTGTGACCGACCCAAGGTCACCCAACTGGCTGCATGTGAAGGAGTGGGGAATCCACCCCAGTTCTCTAGTCTGCTGCTCTTAACCACTACACCAAGCTGGCTCATCTGGGTGGACTCCAACTGAACACGAGGAGAAATCTTCTCACAGTAAGAGCAGTTCAGTGTGGGAACCAGTTACCTAAGAGGGTTAGAGAGGGACCTCCCTCACTAAGGTGAAGCCTGCCGCCAAGTCACAATGGACTCGCGGTGGTTTGCCAAGCACTAACCCTGCTTAGCTTCCAAGCTCTGATAAGACTAGGCTGTCCGTGTGCGTTAAGTGCCCTCAAGTCGCTTCCGACCTATGGCGACCCTATGAATTAATGTTCCCCAAAATGTCCTGCCATTAACAGTTTTGCTCAGGTCTTGCAAACTGAGGGCTGTGAGATGAAGTCAGTCCATCTCCTGTTGGGTCTTCGGCTCTTTCTGCACTGACAGCTTTCTCCGGAGAATCTGAGGAGTCGTGCATTAAGGATTGACTTCGCACACATTCCCTCCGCACTGGTTTCTTTCTCCTCCAGTTTATTTATCTGTATGCATTCTGCATCTAGAAGCAAAACCCACATTTTTTTGCCTGATTAATATGGGAACCACATGATGCTGTGTGGGCGGCGCCCAACTTTAAAAAAAATTACGCAATCGTCCTGCCACAGTTAAAACTTAACTGCAGGCTCAACCCCTCCCTCTCTGATTCTGCAAGAAGAAAGGGAAGGGAGGGGAAATCCAGGCCCAGACATGCAAGACTGAGACATTTGGGAGCAGGGAATCCCCTAGTCCTTTATATTTACTGATTCCTTCTTATGCTCTCTCTGGCTTTTTAAAAGCTTGCCTGAGCGGGAGGACACGTCCTCTCTTGTGTTTGGCGAAGGAGGGAAAGAAAACAGAACAGGGAAGGAGCGTCAACCTAAAGAGGGAGAGGCAGAAACGGGGGAGGGCAGCGGGCAGCGCTTAAATACCCGCAGAAACAATCCTGCTTTAGAAAGGATTGGCGATTTGAAAGCGGATGAGAGCAAAGAATCGCCGCAAAAGGAGTTTTGGTAATGGCGGGGCAGCAGTGTGCTGGAAGCGATCCGAATGCAGATGCCTGTAAAACAAATGCAGAAACGAGAAAAAGCCCTGACACAAATGGGGAAGTGAAAGCGGGAGGGAATGCAGAACGGAAAACGCTTCGGCGGGAGGGCAGAACGCTTCGGCGGGAGAAAAATCAAAATAAATAAATAAATAAATAAAAACAAATAAAAACAAATAAAATAGGATGCGCTCAGAAACCAAGGCAAAATATGGGTGCAGAAAGGACCTTCCTCTTTTCCTCCTGCCTCCAGCTTTTCCTAGCATGATCGTCTTTTCCAGTGATTCATCTTCTCATAATGTAACCGAAGTACGATCACCTTGGCTGAGTCATTTTAGCTTCCAGGACGAGTTCAGCGCTGCTAGTCGCCGGAGGTCTTCAAGCAGAGGCTGAGCAGCTGTAAGAATGCTCTGGGCCCTGAGAAGAGGGTTGGTCTGGAATAGATGGACTTAAGGGTTTTGTGACTTAAAAAACAACCTCTGCCCTGAATTTTAGAGAGCGTTGGAACCATCCGCACTGCTAGTCTGAGGACTTCTGGGGCCTGGCTTTTTAAAAACTGAAGTGGCCTCCTGCGGACACTCGAAGGAAAATCGGCAGTGCAGATGAAGAGTGCCCTTCCTGCTCCAGAGCCGTGTTTCTGTAGTCTGAGGAGTTTTCACAAAACATTTGCTTGGCAACCCTCGGTGACAACAGGTGTCTGGAGAGCTGCCAGCTGGCCAAAGGGACCCGGCTGTGGCAGCGGAAGAAAAGAGGATGACATTCTAGAGCAGGGGTGTCAAACATAAGGCCCGGGGGCCGGAACCACCCGTCCAGGGCTTTTATGCGGCCCGTGAGCAACTGCTGCAAGGGAGGAAGTGCTGGGGGGAGTGGGGGGAGTCACTCCATTGTGGCTGCAGCACGGCAGAACAACCTTGTCTGGAGCAGTCAAGCAGCGTGGGAGCGTCTGCCCAGTGCTGCACAGCTTCCAGTTCCCCTATGTGGGGTTTCCTCTGCACCCTCCTCCCAGCCCATGGGGCCTTGTAGTGAGGATGCACGAACTTGGCACTTACCAGCTGCTGTCCTTTATACAGTTTCTATCTCTGGTGCCTGGCATTACATTTTATGGCACACATGGCCCGGCCTGATAAGAGTGACATTTATATCAGGTCCGGCCCTCGTAACAAATGAGTTTGACACCCCTGTTCTAGAGGGTGTAACAGGTTTCAGAAGAAGGGAAAGCGTTCTAGGGAAGGGGGGAAGGCACCAGGGAAGGTGGAGGATTCCACCAACAGATTCAATAATCCTGCTAAGATTTCCCCACTGCCACTTCATTCAGTCGCTCTAGCATCAAGCTCAAATGTGCATGGCGCATGGCAGCATTGCAGGCTCAATCAATCTTCAATTCATTTGAACCCTTTTCCCGTGATGATTTTTTTGGGGGGGGTATCTGCTCATCTTGTCATGAGCTGGAGAGCAAATGGGCCATACAGTGAAGCACTCATGTGCCAGCTTTAATAGAGGTCATTTCAGCACATGTAACAGGGGACACATGGCCAGATCAGCAAGGGGAGGGCACTGGACTGCCACTTCCATGCCTCGTGCAATCTGCAGAGCTTTTCTTGAAGCTCCCCCCAGATTCTCCCAGCTTATGTCCCAGAATCCTCTTGTCACAGATCTCACGGGTCAGCCTATCCCTGTGGCATTCACCCGTGTCTCCAAAACCAGAGTGCTCCAAACAGGAAACAAGGTCCCCACGGCAAAGAGCAGCCGTAGGTACCCCAGGTGGGTGCAAGAAGCAGTTCATTCCCTTGTTCTCTGTTACAGTCACTTTACCAATCATATAAAACATTTACACTATAAAAACTCAGGGATACAGTAGACTAAATAAAGCAATTTAAAATTAAACTCTAGTTACAGTACAGTTTCTGAGAGCTGAGAAACAGTTCAAACCTCACTGTCCCAAGGTCACACTAGCAGCTGCATGTGGAGGAGTAGGGACTCAAACCCGGTTCTCCCAGATTAGAGTCCGCGCTCCTAACCACTACACCAATTCCGCACGCTGCGCCTAGTCCGTCCTGATCAGGCGCAAATGGCTTCGGACTGTCAGAGTTAGGGAGCACTTTCTGTGCCTGACCCACAGCGGCATTCC